TTTTTCGATATCCAATACTTTAAAATCGATTTAATTTCCAATCTTTAATTTTTCTGAAAAAGAAAAGAAATATTTATCACATAATCTATGATATATTCCAAAATTTCCATTTCATTCCAAAAATACAAAGGATACTCGTATTCCCAAATCTCTTGATCTATTTAATTATTTATTATTATTTCTCTTGATCTTTTATTTAAAAATTCCAAAAAACAATAATAATAATTTATTTATTTTTATCTCGCGCCACAGATTAATCCAAGGTGCTCGAGAGATCTTGGAACGAAATTAGGGGGATCTGGACGAACGAAACGAAATTTCCATCCATTTCCATTCCGTAGAAATTGCGAACGGAGTTCGATACGTTATTTTCGCGTACGTTAAACGGGGTGAGGGTTAGGGAGCGCGAAGCAAATGAATTCGAGGCAAGCGAGAAAGCGTGGCTCAACAGCTTCGACGTTTCGACGAACAATGAAAATTCCGCGTGACTGCCGGCCGTGACTCGAATGCAACACCGTAACGACCCCCTCCCCTGTTAGAGGCGAATATGGAGCTGCGGTTTTCCACAGACTTTTCGAGATAAACGTCCTTCTATCAGGGGGGCTCGTCGAGGAAAATAACAAGTGGTTGGGTGTTGCTCTTGTTTATTCTCACGATGAATATTTGACTGAAAGATGAAAGTAAATATCGAAAAATATCGAGAAAGGAGTCGTTCTGAGAAGAGAAAACAGGCAGTTCTTCTTCTTTCTTTTTTAAATAAAATTTTCGTATTTAGGTGATTGAAAGAATTTAGAATTTAGAGAATCGATTCTCAAATTAAGAAACTAGATATAGTATTCTCTTTAATCTAGTTATATAATATTGAATAGAAAAAAAGGGAAGTTGGAAAATTGGAAGGGAAAGAAGTTACGAGGAATTACAAAGAGAACTAATTCCAATCCGAGATTCTTTCAAAATACACATCTCGTATCCTTCGCGAGGAAAAAATATTTATCCAGACGCTGTTCCATCGAGTACCTTCCCTTACATAAAAATACGAGATTTTAGCACAGATACAAGGATAAACGAAATTTATTTATTTCCTCCACAAATGCATCATTTTCTTCGTATAACTTAAATAAAATCCATTTGCATACCGAATACTTAACTGCCCAATTTTTCTTAATCTCTAATTGTTCCTCCTTTTCCTTCCTTCTCTCAACCATCGTCTTTGTTTCTACGGATAATATATATAATATATTATTATATAAATAAATTTTATTATACAAATAATAATTATATTATCATATTATAACGCGTATACAAATGGAAATTTCGTACAAATTTAAAATAATCTACTGTTCTTCCATTTTTTGAAGAATCTCCATTTCTCTCTTTCTTCGCAAATGTTGGAAATAGAGTGGAAATTACAGAAGGGTGGGAGCGTCGTTTGTATGAATTACGATTTCGTTCACGGTTGCCCGGCATCAAGGTGATTATCATAGGGCGACAAACGAATTGTTTCGCCGTAGACAGCAATTTCGTTTGACGCGCAATTTCGTGGGGAGAAGATGCAGCAATCCAGGTTTCCGTTTGTCATACTTAAGCGCGCTTAATGCGGTTCCTCTCGATGAAACTGCGAACCAAGAACGGTGATAATGTTGGAACAACGGTACGGTTAATCTCGTAATTAACTATCCCGCCGAAATCGTGACCGTCCTCTCCGAAATCGGGATTATTTAATCGGATTATTCGAAAAGGGGTCGAATTGTTTCTACTTTTAGAGAAAAATATTTATTTGGTTATTTGTTATCGTTCTGTGTATTGTATTCTTCTGTATATAATTCTTTCGTTCAGTGATCGTTAATCGATAGATCATCGTTGAAAATAAATCGGTTATGGCGATTCTTCGTAATTTGTAATCGTTAATTTTTAAATCGTTCAACGATCGTCATTAGCGATACTTTTAAGACAAAGTTTATAAAATAATAATTATAAAATAACAGTGCTGTACGATTTAGAATTGAATGTTTGTCGTTGATGTTTTTATTTTATTATAACAAAATTATTCGGCTCCTTGATAAATTATTTTCATACGATGATAACCTAAAATATACTAAAAATATACAAATAATATGTTTGAAATGTTGTATTAAAAGATTCTAAGGATTTTCTATGTAAAATTATGTAAAAATAAATATTATAGATTAAATCAATAATCATTTGATGATTGATAATTAATAAAAGCAATCATTGATCACAACAACAACTTCTGATTCCTTTCTTATTCATTAATCAATGATTATTCATTATTTAATAATTGAATTTTATATTAATCATAATTTCCAATCATCAATCTGATTACGTTTTCCCCTTTTGAACTTTTAAGAAGTTCCTCATTCTCTCTATTCTGACCACCTTTTCTCCACATTTACCTTTCGAATCGTTATTCAAAAAATCCACTTTGCAAGCCTCCTTTAAAATCATCCCCCTCCTTGTTTTAACAATTAATAATCTGAACCATCTTCCGTTCATTAATTTTTGTAAACTAACAAACATCGACATTTATTATTCTCTCTGTCATCTCCGTTTTTAATAAAACGCGTCCACGTTAAAGCGTTATTTTAAACGTGACGTGAATTAATAAATTAAGGCAACATGGGAGGCGTTCCAATAATAGAATCGATCCTAGCCGAATAGACGGATATTAATAGTGTAATTAATCTTGACATACAATATTATCATAAATATATTCCTTTATCTTTCTTATAAAGGTATATATTATCCTTTATTTATATACTGTACGGAGATTAAAATTTCTATATCCCCCTCTCGCGTGTAGAATTCGAAATAGAAGGATACATGTAAAATCTTAGCTGATATTACACGGATAGAATTAAGATAGAATTGAAATTGTTGCGTTTATTAATTCGTCACGAATTTATACGAAATCCGCGATGTATTACACGATATATTATATTACACGATAATTCTTTCACCGGTTATTATTGGTGTTTCGTATCGTCGTAATTAGTCAATTTAATAATTTCCATCGTTTTATCATTCGATGAAAATTTAATAACACGAGTTACGTTTATTTGAGACAATTAATATTAAGTATCGAACAGGCAAATCCATATATCCCCATGCGAAATGCGAGTTTCTTCCCGTTTATTATCATATATAACACGAAATATCATGTATTACATTTTTAATCGAAATAACTAATTAAAATTTTGAACTTGTTGCAATTCTGATGATAATATTATAATGATTCTCGTTCTTAGAGATATTAAAAAAGATCGATTTTCAAAATCACTTTGAATCAAATGAAAACTTATTAAAATTAAGAAAATTTTTTGAATAAGATTTTAAACATGAGAATTTGAATGAACTATCGTTAGAAATGTGGAATTACTACTCTTTAAAACGCTTTTTCGTTATCTCGACTTCCGGTTCTCGAAATATCATCAAAGAAAAGAATAATTTTCAATCGTAAACTCGATTAAAATTA